GTCTTACAGAAGTCAACTTTAATTAGAATTTAGAAGCCTATAACCTCCCCAGATTATCAAACATAACATATCAATTTTCAATAACTTTCTCGGAATGCTGAATTTCTTGAGCTACATGGATACCCATCTTTATACATAAAAAAATTAAATATTTGAATACATTAATAATCAACATTTTAAATATTTCTACTATTTATTTATTCACTAAATATTTGTGTGAGTGAACTTCTTTTTCCCACCCAAGGTTTGCCTCAATGACACTTTCCCACAAATTTTTTTCAAAATACCACCCAAATTCAATATTTCATTACTACCCAAAGCTGATTCTGACAGTAAAAATTTTCTCTATCACCACTATTTGAACCTCAGGTCTCCTCTTTACAGAACCTCTCTCTTTCCGACACTTGAATTCTCGTCGATTACCAACCACCATAAAGCTAGGGTTCTCGGTTTTTAACTGATTTTCGACTTATTCTATAGGTGAATATTCAATCAGTCACCATCATTCAATATATTAGTCTATATTTTACAAAAATCCTCTTACTCTATCCCCAATAACTTGTCAAACACCAACTGAGAAAGTGAAGTATATCTTGAGATTAATAGAATATAAATGTTATGTGAGAAAGTGATAGTTTAAAATTTTTTAAGTGAGAAAGAATTGTTAAGGCAAACCTTGGGTGGAAAAAAGCCTTTTACTCATATTTGTGCATTCTGAATTAAAATCTGGGCTATGATGAGATGCATCTGAAAAATATCTTTAATAATTCTCGTTAATATTTATATGAAATATTATGAGAATAATAAGATATTTATTTGGGCGAATATTGAAGTGCGTGGCCCTGACGTTATAGAACTATGTTGAACTAGTTATCACCTGTAACGTGCGACATTAAAATAATAATATTTGTTCATCCGAGTTCCCGATAGCCGGGATGCGAGACACGTATTTGACAGAACCCAGGTCAAACGTTAGGCGAAGTTTGACCAGGGCGTCGTCGTCTGTCTCTCGCGGATTGCAGCACCAACAATCTCTCTTTTTTTATCTCTCACTGTGACACCTAAACTTTAACAACTTCTTAATCTAATCCAACCTTCCTCCCCACCAAATCCACACCAATCATAATTTCACAATGTTACTTTCCACATGTTCTGACCTTTTTGGTCAAATCCCAAATTAAAAATCTGATTTTTTCTTCTTATGGTCAAATTTTATTTTATGGACATTTTGTAATACATTGGACCAAAATGACGAGCACTGAATAAGTAAACCATATAGGGTAGTTGTTTTATGCATATTGGTGACACGTGTATATGATTGCAGGAACGGTTGTGGGTGAGTTTCGTGATTTTAAATTAAATTAAGATTTTGTGTAAGATATGCAAGTATGCAATGCAACTACCGATGTGTCTTTCAAGTTCAACCACCACTTATAAGTCTCTTGCACGCCACATGATTATATATCTTCACTTAATCTCTGATTGGATAAAAGTAAGACAAAATGCTTAGGAGATTTATAAAATAATTGAATGGGGGGGTCACTGTGCCCCCGCTCGTCTCTTATGGGAACCATCCATGTTAAAACAAGATTTTTTAAAAGATAATTTTTTCGACTTTTAATATTTTAATGAAGAGAGATTCCTCAAATGTGATTAGTTTAAGTAAAGTATTTTTTGTGAGATTTATTATTTATATTTAATAAAAGACAGTACCAACAAATGAACAACAAGAATATCACATTAACTTTATGCCATATTTATTGTCTAGTAACGTATCCAAATCCAAATCAAAAGCTTATGTAACAGTTTAATTAGCTGACGTATCATCCAAATTTTGTGAATGAAATTGAAGTTTTAAAACGACATTATTTCCTTCAATTAGCAAAACCCTATATTTATTAGAAACACATGCACGGTTCCGTGCGGAAACATTAAACTATTCAAATGATATATGTGAATTCAATATTTTTGGAATTTGCAGCACGCGTGCTTATTTTAGTAAGCTTTTGCCCTGTAACTAAATTTGTACTTCCCTATTTTAATTGTATTATTATTTTATTAAGTAAACGACATTTTCCCACCCAAGGTTTGGCGAATTTATAAGTTCCCATTCCTGTTTTTATTAATTATAGATTTTCACCCTTAAATTAAATCTAACAGTTAAAAGAGTAAAATAGTTATTTTAAATATGAAAATTTTAAATAACATTTTGTTTCTCAAATTCACCCCATCGGAAGATTTCAAAATAACCCTTGACTTCTCAAATTCACCCACCGGCGATTTCAGGTCATTCTGGCCTGTTCCCAACACAGTCGACCTTTCCTGACATCACCATTACAATCTCCTCAACCCCCACACCAAAACCCCTAACTTTCATGTTTGATTGAACTCCCAATCGTCAGTCGCCGCTGTTAGTTTCAGTCGACGTTTCATCCAAATTTCGGCAAGTCTAGGCACTAGAAACCAACCCCAACACCATCAATAGCATCACCGACTTCCCCCCATCAAAATCCCTAACATCGCCAACTGCAATTGCTCATCTCCTTTAGGTTTTCGCATTTTGTCGTACCTTTTTCAACCAAATTCTGACACCTCGCCCAGGTTCAATCGGGTGAAAAGTTAGGGGTTTTGGTTAGGAGGATAAGGAGATACTGATGGTGGTGTCGGGGAGGTCTAATGGTGTCGGAATCTGGCCGGATTTTTGGCTTGGCCGAGATCCTCTAGGGGTTATTTGAGAGAAATTTGAGATGTATGGGTTATTTTGAGAAAAAAGTAACGGTGTTACTTTAAGGGTGAAAATCTACAATCTATGAAACCAGGGGTGGGGAACTTGCAGATTCGCCAAACCTTGGGTAGGAAAATGTCATTTACTCTTATTTTATTTTATTTTCTCCTTACCATATATTACTTTTTTTTTAAATGATCGGGGTGTCCGGTCAAATTTATACGTACTTCAACTAATCCCTAGGGCCTTGAAACTACTAGTCGGATAAGAGCTTCAGTGGCTACTCTTATTAGCAACCATAGAGACTCGAACGTGATAGTCCATGTTAAATCATAATCTTGCTCTTTTACACTCAAGGGGACTTGAACTTGAGAGATTATGTTATATTTTTCACTAGCTCTTTTACCATTAAGGAGGCTCGAACTTGAGAGACCATCATGTTAAATCCTTATTTACTTTTTTACCATCAGGACACCCAGTGATAATTTATTATATATTACTCTTCTCCATGCTATGTTCCTTTTTTGCTTTGTCACATGCTTCATTTTCTAAGTACCCACTCTCTTTTCACCCTATCCAATTTTAAAATCTTTATCTTATAATTTCTATATCAAAATTTATTGTAACTTGATGTATACATAAATTCAAAATTTACATACTATTTTACCGTTGTAACATTAACATTGAATTTGTGATTAGAAACATGTAAGATTTTATACATGAGATTCATTATATTTTAAAGATTACAGAAAATTTATGGAAATTGATGAAAATCATAGACAAATAAACGCTTAGTTTTTTAGTGATGAAACATACAAAAAAGAAAATAAACACTTTATTTTACATTTTATCATAAAGTCAAAAACTTTGAGAAATGTATTTCTCATCTAAAATACTCAAAATTGACTTAATATTATTGTTTTAATTGTGCCCCTTCAAAACATTTTAATTGTTTATTTTTAGTTATATTTCTGATTCAATTAAGCACTGTTTTATTGATTTTGTGTTGGAATTATGAACATATAAAGTAATTTTTTTCTTTCTAAAAAGAGTAGNTGGCGAACAATCATTTAACAGGAGCCATACCAAAAGAAATCGGAAATTTGACTCAACTTAAGTCGTTATTTCTTGGCCGCAATAGTCTCCAAGGTACATATAGATACTTTATAAAATATAGCTGCAATATATATGGCTACTAAATCCTTTTCAAATATTTTTAATATGAACTAACAATATAGGAATTCAATAGAATAATGAAATAAAAATATGTAAGTAATTATGTAGAATATTCTTCATCATCAGTGCTCCTTTCTTGTCAAATATAGATTTTGTCAGCATTAGCTTGTATCTCAAAATTCATATTTTTAACCTTTATTTGCCCCAATCTAACCATTGTGATTTTGTAGGAAACATTCCACAGGAGTTGGGAAATCTTGCACAACTGAGGATTTTTTCACTTGCATATAATCATCTCATCACTGGTACATCTTGTTAGCATACAACGACTCTGTTCTTAATCGTTAATTAACTTCAAAACCATGGGTGTGCCACGTCACTCATAGCACCTACCAATGTATTGACACCACCTATGATTTTTTTTTTTCTCCTGAATCTTTATCATTAAAGTGATTGGAAGTTATCAATTTAAAAATCTTTGTGCAGCAATATATTGGTTGGTGGTATGGGTGATATGTTACCCTTGTGGTACTATAGATACTCTTGTGATCATTTCACGAGTGATTAACACGAACTTCACAATTTACTACAAATCTAATAAAGAGTTAAAAAGTATATCCTTTTTGTTTTGTTATTTCACAGGAGTCATACCAAAAAATATTCTAAATTTGACTCGGCTTCAGAGGTTTACTATATACCAAAATAAAATCCAAGGTATGATATATGCAAGCGTGAGGCTACATATAAAATTTTAAATCTTTGTTGCACAAAATTGCAACTTCATCTATATATCATGTTTTGTTAAATGAAATGACATCTTTCAATTATATTGCAGGAGCCATACCAAAAGAAATCGGAAATTTGACTCAGCTTAAGGGGATTTATTTCGGCTACAATCAACTACAGGGTATGATTTATTCAACCTTGATGTACTGTAGCTGTTTGATATGATTTGACCATTACTTTTAAAACTTTTTTCAAGTCTCTCAATTAAAGTTGTTTTATGATTAAACGAAGAAAAGTTAGTCTTATTACGACGCATCTTCTTTTTCTAGTAATCTCATTATACAATTGATGAGCTCTCATATTTTCAGGTGAGATGCCACATGAAATTGGTGATCTTCATAACCTAGAGGAGTTGGGACTCTCATGGAACAACCTAGTTGGACCTATTCCAACTACCATCTTCAACATCTCAACAATCAAAATAATTGGAATTGCAGGAAATAAACTCTCAGGAATTCTTCCATCTACTACTAAAGTTCCAAATCTTGAGCGTCTTACAATGGGATCTAATGATTTTAGTGGGACATTTCCAAGCTTCATCAGCAATGCTTCCAAGCTTTCAATGCTAGATATTTCAAGTAATTCATTCACAGGCTTCATTCCTAGTACAATTGGTAATTTAAGAAATCTTGAGTGGCTTAACTTAAAAGAAAATTACTTGACATCGCCCACTCCAAATCTGAGCATTCTTTCTTCTTTGGCGAATTGCAAGAATTTAAAACATTTAGAGTTAGCAGGAAATCCACTCAACAGCCTCCTTCCAAGTTCCATAGGAAATCTTTCTATTTCCTTGGAAAATGTTTACATGAATGATTGCAATGTTAGTGGCAACATTCCGAAAGAGATAGAAAACTTAAACCACCTGATAGAAATCCAATTACAAAGCAATAAATTGACTGGACCTATTCCAGCTACACTAGGTGGACTACAAAAACTCCAAGGTTTGAATCTTAGAGATAACAAATTAGAAGGATCCATACCAGATCATCTTTGTCGTTTGATTGAATTAGTTGAGTTGCAGCTAGATGGTAACAACATTTATGGATCTATACCTGCATGCTTAGGCAATCTCACTACACTAAGAAAACTATCATTGGCCTCTAATAGGTTAACTTCTGTCATACCTTCAACTTTGTGGCAGCTTAAGGACATCTTGTACTTTAATTTGTCATCAAATTTTCTAAACGGATCTGTCCCATTCGAAATTCAAAGTCTGAAAGTTGTAGTAGCTATAGATTTGTCAAGGAATCATTTGTCAGGCAATATCCCAACTGATATTGGAAGCCTAAAAAATCTACAGAATCTCTCCTTAAGATATAATAGATTTGAAGGCTTGATTCCTGAATCAATTGGTGACATGACAAGCTTGAATTTCTTGGATCTGTCTAATAACAATCTCTTTGGAGTTATTCCTAAGTCTTTAGAGAAACTCTCATACCTCTTATATCTAAATTTGTCTTTCAACCAACTAAGTGGTGAAATTCCTACTGGAGGAACTTTCAGAAACTTCTCGGTTGAATCATTTAAGGGGAATCTTGCATTGTGTAGATCTCCACAATTGCAACTTCCACAATGCCAAACAAGCACACATCGAAAATCAAGGACAAAAAAGGTTCTTCTATTGATTGTTTTGCTGCCACTAAGCATTGTAGTCACAATGGTTGTCCTGGTTCTTACATTTGTGTTGACCAAAGGCCGAAAGAAGAGCAGAAAGCCACCTACTAATGCTGAAGTGTATCCACAACATACATGGAGAAGAATTTCTTACCAAGAACTGGTTAGAGCTACAAATGGATTTAGTGAGAACAACCTGCTTGGCAGAGGAAGCTATGGTTCCGTTTACAGAGGAAGATTAGATGATGGGATGGAGCTTGCGATAAAGGTATTCCACCTACATTTTGAAGGCGCACTCACCAGTTTTGAAGCAGAATGTGAAGTTCTCTCCAGTATTCGACATCGAAATCTTGTTAAAATCATTAGTAGTTGCACAAATGATGATTTTAAATCTTTGATACTTGAGTACATGCCCAATGGGAGCCTGGAGAAATGTTTGTATTCTGACAACTGCATTTTGGACATTTCACATAGGTTGAACATAATGATAGATGTTGCTTCTGCTTTGGAATATCCCCATTTCAGTTATTCAGTCCCCATTGTACACTGTGACTTAAAGCCCAACAATGTCTTGCTAGATGCAAATATGGTTGCACATTTGAGTGATTTTGGAATTTCAAAGCTCTTAAGTGAAGAAGACTCTATGATGCAAACGCAAACCCTTGCTACCATTGGTTATATGGCACCAGGTAATTAGTTTTTTTCATACTCTATATTTGTTTTTCTAGCTAAATTTACTTTGTTATTAATTATTATTTTTCTTGTAAAAAGACACATTAATTTATCTAACAATGATCCGACATGCGATCATGATAAACAGAGTATGGAAGAGAAGGAAAAGTATCGCAAAAGGGAGATGTTTACAGCTTTGGTATTATGCTAATGGAAACATTTACACGGAAGAAGCCAACAGATGAAATATTTAGTGAGGAAATGAGCTTAAGGAGTTGGGTTGGTGAATCATTATGTAGTGCAGTGATGAAAGTTGTGGATGGCAATTTGGTAAGTAGGGATGATGAAAATTTCTCGAGAAAGGAGGAATGTTTATCATCAATCTTGAGTTTGGCAATGGAGTGTACAAGAGAATCACCTGGGGAGAGGATCAACATTAGAGAAGTGGTATCTAAACTCTTGAAAATTAGAGTCAATTATCTTGCCAATATGGCAACCACGAGAGGTAGAATGCTATATATCAAATTTGAGTTAATTTCCTTTTCCTTTTAATTACATATATGGATTGTTTTCAATTTTGCAGAGAGGAACAAAAATGTGCTTGCTAGACAACAACCCATTGATTGAAGGATTTAGCTTCAACAGAATATGGGTAAACTTAATAAAGGTGCTTGTAATTATCTTAATATAGTGAAGTTAAACTTCAGGGGTTTGAATTTCCCATATCATATTTATGAAGATGAATTAATTATTAATATTTCATTGATCGAACCAGTTGCAAGTAATATTATAATGACTAGTGGCTGTTTACGTGGAATTGAAGTAGAACAGTCCTATCAAATGAATTAGTAAACTTGTAACTGAGCCATAAGCTTCTGTTTTTTGTTTAGCGAAAAAGTGGCTGACAATAACTGCTTTTAATTTGCAGGGACAAGTGGATTAGGTTACTAGCCAACGACCCATGGATCGAAGGACCGGAGTTTCCGTGATTTAAATTTGATTCTGATAACCTTCGAAACCTTTTGGACCTTTGGGTAATGGAGATAAACTTTACGGGCTTTTGTAAATCGTTGCCAACAGCAACATAAGTTTTTTATTTATATATTTTAAAAGAAGTAATGTTCAAGAGTTGTAGTTCTCTTTTCCCTTCTGGAATGATCAAACCTATTGGCCCAAGGTTTTCCAAGACATGCATAGTTTTCATTTTTTTTTTTAATTCCATAATTATACCAATGCTTTTCAGGGGTACTCTATCTATGTCATGGAATACAGGATATGTGGATAAAAGTTTTCTTTTAAGTTGCGATGATTTTTATGCTCACTTCAACGAGCAGTAGAATCTATTAGCCTTGTATTCAAGTTCAGATTCTCTTTTGCAGTCCATGGAATTGTGACCAAGGGTGTAGCTGTAGAGAACAACGACCAGCACAATTTTTTGTCCTTTCATTTTGTCTTCTTAAGGTGAGAGAATTCATTAAGGTAATAGAGGTAAAAGATTTGTAACATAATCGATGAAGACGCCAGTGGAAGTGGAAGAAAGTCGTGTTTTAGTGACAATCATCTCTTTTAATTATGTAAATATTAAGTTAGTGCATTAAATAATATAAAAAGACTTGAAGAGATCAATTATTTCTTTTAATTATTTAAATATTTTATTTATTGTGCCAGTTTTTTTTTTTTTTTTTGGATCAATATTACTGTTATACTACTTAATGTGCAAAGAAGAGATAATACACGGATAATATAGAAAGAAGAGATAATACAAAGATACAAGGCTCTCCTTATATAGCTCATAAAAGGTTAAAATCATTTGTTAACTAACCAATATGAGACTACAAAAATTGCCCACTACTATATTTTACAGGTTTTTGAGATTTTTCAATAATGATTAGAAAATACAAACTCTTTCTTTGTTGAATACAACTTTACATGAGAAGATCATGTTGCAATATGAGCACTTTTTGGTAATTGATGAAGATATTGGTGAAGAAGAAAAGGCAAACAAGAAGAAGCAAAGGCTGAAGCTAGAACTCTGGAAAAATTCCACAGATGGCTTCACAACGACAAGGAAAAGGTTTCTACAAATTTTCTTTTTAGAAATTTATGAACAATACAACTGTTTAATTATATTGATTTTGTAGGAGAAATTCTGAAACAGCTGGGCAATCTTTCCGAATTGGGGCTACTATCGTTAGGAAATAATTCCTTACCAGTAACTATTCCTTCACTTATCTTCTGTTGAAACGACATCCAAAAAACACACAATAATAAAAGTAGAAAAGTAAAGAAGACACGATTTACCTTGGTTCGTTCCAATAAAAGAATTACATCAGCATTCAAATACAGTATTTTTATTGAGTATCAAAAAATTGTAATAAATACATTGTAGTTTACTCTTGCTCTCTATTTTTTTTCACACTTCGTTTCTCACTATAACAAAATGCATATAATAGAAAACCTAACCTCATTTGGGCTTATCCGATCTAACCCGACCCAAGCCTACATATTAGCAAATTAATACCCAATTACTAATTGAACTTATCATATGAGTCGGCGTAAGCCAATAATTCTCAAGGTTAAGAGAAATATAAACCATATCCAACATCTTCAACCTTTTTCTTTAATTTACATGAAATTTGTGAATAATAATTAATGTTTTAATAACCAGCCCATGGTGAAACTCAAGTAAGTGGGCCAGTCTCGGGTTGACTGGCAGGTCAGACTAGTGATGTCAATATGATGACATCATCCAACATAAAAAAATGAAAAAAAATTAATCCGCAAAATAAAATCTGAAATAAAAAATACACTATAACAAATACAGTACATCTAAACTGCAAACTGCAAGCTGAAAAGCCAGACCTATTTTTTCTTTTTTAACGACAGCACAATTTCATCAAAGATCCTCAGGCTATCACTAACTCTCCACAACGCTTTAGCTCTGCATAAAGTAGCTTTGACCACCATCCCTCCACGGAACACCCAAACATATTCCGTGATTATAGTATCAGTATACACCACATTAAAACGCTAGCTCTGTACTAAACTAACATTTCTTCCATCTTTCACCAGTTAAAACCAATGTACATAAGTTCATAAACTATGCAGGATTTTGAATGCATAAGAGATGGATGCTATGTTTAATACCACTGACGCTGTCTATATGCGGTAATTTTAATTTTGGATTTGCATATTTTCATGGATGCATGAACAACTTTTTTGTTTTTTTGGTAAGTATGCATGAACAACGTTCTATATTTTGAATGTTGAAGTATACCCTCAACTAATAGAACATAATAACACATACTGCTTATGTGAAAAAAGAGAAAAAAAAAAANACACCAAGAAACAAGAAAACACCACAGAATCAAACACACAGACAAGCCACGATTTACCGTGGTTCACTTATCCTTTTATGGATAAGCTACATCCACGTTGAGCTCAAGAACGGTATGAGCTTGCTGCACTTCGATTACCAGAAACAGTCAAGATTACACAGATTCAACACTCACTAGATCTACCCGATTATAACAGCAACCAGCCTTACAAGATACTCTCTGAATATCCCTAACCCGAGAGAACACTACTCTCACCTGAATGATTAAAACCTCTAATCACTTGACTGATTTAACTCACAATCTGGAATGAAGAATCTCAACCCTAACACAGAGAAGAACATGCACAGAGAACCCTAACGACTGTCTATCACTGTGCCAAATTTGAATGAACATGCGCTTATATATGGTTTGACTTCGTGATTGATCCTGGCCGTTAGATCTTGAGTGCATCCTGTGGTCTGAATTCGTCCAAGTTAATATGCCTAAAACGACGCCGTATTAATGTTACTTAAACGACGCTGTTTCAGGCTTCCATATTTAACACTTAGGAAATAATTCCTTACCAGGAACTATTCCTTCACTTATCTTCTGCTGAAACAACATCTAAATAACACATAATAACAAAAGCAGAACAGTAAAGAAGACACGATTTATCTTGGTTTGTTCCAATAAAAGAATTACATCCAGCATTCAAATACAATATTTTTATTGAGTATAAAAAAATTGTAATAAATACAATGTAATTTACTCTTGCTCTCTATTTTTCTCCACACTAGGTTTCTCACTATCACAAAATGCATATAATAAAAAACTTAACCTTATTTGGGCTTGCCTGATCTAACCTGAGCCAAGCCCAAATATTAGCAAATTAATACCCGATTACTAATTGAGCTTATCGTATGAGTCAGCATAAGCCAATAATTCTCAAGGTTAAGAGAAATATAAACCATATCAAACATCTTCAATCTTTTTCTTTAATTTACATGAAATTTGTGAATAATAATCAATGTTTTAATAACAGCCCAAGGTGAAACTCAAGTAAGTGGCCGAGTCTCGGGTTGACCGGTTGAACCGGTCCGAATGGCAAGTCAGACTAGTGATGTCAGTATGATGACATCATCCAACATAAAAAATTGAAAAAAAAAACTTAATCTGCAAAATAAAATCTAAAATAAAAAATACACTATAACAAATACAGTACATCTAAACTGCAAACTGCAAGCACAAAAGCCAGACCTCTTTTTTCTCCTTTTAACGACAGCACAATTTCATCAAAGATCCTCAGGCTATCACTAACTCTCCACAACGCTTTAGCTCTGCATAAAGTAGCTTAGACCACCATCCCTCCACGGAACACCCAAACATATTCCGTGATTATAGTATCAGTATACACCACATTAAAACGCTAGCTCTGTACTAAACTAACATTTCTTCCATCTTTCACCAGTTAAAACCAATGTACATAATTCATAAACTATGCAGGATTTTGAATGCATAAGAGATGGATGCTATGTTTAATACCACTGACGCTGTCTATATGCGGTAATTTTAATTTTGGATTTGCATATTTTCATGGATGCATGAACAACTTTTTTGTTTTTTTGGTAAGTATGCATGAACAACGTTCTATATTTTGAATGTTGAAATATACCCTCAACTAATAGAACATAGTAACACATACTGCTTATGTGAAAAAAAAAAAAAAAAAAAAAAAAAAAAAAAAGCATTAGAAGAAACTTTAAAAAAGTATTAGAATATAATAACACATACTGCTAATTAAAAGTGTCACTAAGCCATTATTTGTGAGGGAAAAAATCGTTTACTCCTGAAAGATAATAAATAAATAAGAGTTGGGGAGTTTGCCTGCAGTTTGCAAATTGCAGTAGCAAACTTGAAATGCTATTACTTCAATAGGGGTCCCCTTGACATGAATACAACCTTCAAAGCGAAACAATCTTCAAAATGAAACTAACTTCTTATATAAATAATGCAACCCTAATATTGCAATGCTATTACTTCAACAGGAATAGGTGTCCACATGAATACAGAAAAATTGCATCATTCTACACAGACAGGAATACATTCTTTTTCTTTAAACCTGTTCATTGAAAATGACTTCAAACTTAATCAAATAAAACTTCAGAGACAATCCATTACCTAACCAAAAACTTAATGCAAATCCTAGAACTATTCAAACATCAAGTCTTTGTTTTTTTGACAATAACACAGCAAGTCATATTCAAGAATTGTTGTCCCAACTGAACGAAATAAAGAGTAAAACGACAACAAAATAAAGTAAACAAACAGACACAAACAGTAAAGAGAAAAAATAATATGTGCGATTTATCTTGGTTCACCCAACGTAGGCTACATCCAACAGAGTCAATAAATATTGCCTCACCTCTTTTGTTTTATAATGAAGTTTTCTATCACTCATTACAAAAAAAAAGTGTGTTTAAATACTAGGTTTAATAGACTAAACTCAATTTTATAAGGGTTCATATTCTTAAACCCAAACCCAATAAAGAATTAATAACTTAAAGAAACCAGAACCTGACAAATCGATTATAGTTTTGATTCTGGTACTTGGGTTAATTTCAATTGT